GCAGCATTCCTCCAGTGAAGTGTCAGGAAATCCTATCTGAAAGTCCACGAGGCTTGAGTTCATGCTGACTGTAGCTCAGCTGAAAGTCGTAGTCGTAGTAGTAGACATCTTGCAATCTGAAAGTTGCTGGATCAATAACAGCTTCATCCATAAACACATGTTGACATGAGCCTTGGATAAGACACTACAACTCATACTGCTCACCAATCTGTGCAGGAGTCTCTAAATATGAACCTATTTTTTTTTAGTTATACTCAGGGAACGTGGTGCTGGTGTATTTAATTTTATCCTTTTTCAATTCATGGTTGATCCTTGCAGAAAATTCTGAGGAATCATATTTGGTTTCTGGGGAAAAAGTTTAATAGCACTAATGAGCTGGAGGCGTTTTCCCATGCGGAGAGGGTCAGCGTTCCTCACCCTTCAAGTGTGAAGGGGATGTAAAGCAGGTCACATTAGCAAATAGGTGGAGTAATAAGTTCTAAACAGCAACTTTTATTATATTTTGCTTACATTTAGAGAAATCACTTGAAGATAAACTTTCTATGCTTACAACTAGACATTTTATTGATACAGGAACCAGAAAAGCTGCAAAACTGAAAATATGTCGTATATTCTAGGTTCTTTAAAGTAGCCACATTTTGCTTTGATTACTGCTGCGCATGCTCTTGGCATACTACTGATGAGCTTCAAGAGGTAGTCACCTGAAATGGTTTTCACGTCACAGGTGTCCCCTGTCAGGTTTAATAAGTGGGATTTCTTGCCCTATATATGAGGTTGGGACCATCAGTTGTGTTGTGCAGAAGTCAGGTGGATAAACAGCTGATGGTCCTACTGAATAGACTGTTAGAATTTGTATCATGACAAGAAAAAAGCAGCTATATATAGCAATACAAGAACAAATTCAAGCTTTAAATTCAGAGTCCCAAAGACGGGTATATACTGGCATTACATTAATGGCTTTTATCGATATCCTTACACAGGATTTACATTAACTATCAGCTGTTTATTCATGAAGAAACATTTTGCTTTAGTTGTAAATATATTGCAATACAATCAATTTATGTCGTCAGAAACTTTTAGAAAAAGGAAATCTTTTAAGAAGCAAATTAAAATCAGGTGGAAAGTTAGTCGGCTAGAGTTTAGAGGAGAGGGATTGTTTTATTGCAAACTGTGAGCTGAATATAGAAAAGAAAGGGCTTTGAAGGTGAGTAAGGCTGTAAGGTCAACATGAGTTCTCATTTAAACTTTTAATTAAATTTAAAGGTAAAAGTCACTGTATCCTATAATAATAAAAAATGGATAGATGAATCCTTATCATCTAGATTTCTCTTAAAGATTAGGAAAATAGGAATTGTAATCTCTTATCATGCTGCAACATTTTTTTATCTTACTTAACGCAATCAGTTTCCTCTGCCTGACCTGACTGCATGTTTTCTCAACCTTGATAGTGAAAAGTAAATGTTCTCATTTGGAATATACGTCTTTGGTCGTAGCTGATCAATGTGATGAAATGCTCTGAAAAGGCAACAGCTCCCTTACGGGTTAAACAGATCATAGTACCTTTAGATGGCAGAAGCTATAATAAGATAAGATTAAAGAAAACTGTCAAGGCAGCCAGGTGCTGTAAGTATGTGTTTCAAGAAAATACTAAGCAAGAATGATATTAGCAATGACTGTTGAAGCAATTGCTTTGCACAAAATGCAGAAAACTTGCATGCTTACATCAAACTCTCCTGGACGTTTTGTCTTTATAAATAATATGACTGGATTATATGTTTTACAAAACTCCAAACATGTAATGAACCAGAGTACTGTTATTTGGGACAGATAAGACCAAAGTACAGCTGATTGCTCATTATGCCCAGGGCCAATTCTGGCAGAACCCAATCACAGCCTACCAGCACATCCACCTCCTACCATCTGTCAAGCATGATGGTAGAGATTTAATCCATTGTTGTGGCTGCTTAAAGAGCCTGAGCACCTTGCAAACACTGAGTTGACCATTAACTGCTGTGTAGACCCAGATGTTCTAACAAGTCAGGCATTGAACTACTAAAAAAAATCATCATCAACATAATAATTCAATGGCCAGACTACAACAAAAGAGTTGAAAGAACATAACTGAGTTCTTGCAGTTATCTAATTAAATCCAGATCTACACCTTTTTAAGGGGGAGTATTGGCCTAGTGGGTTAGAGCAGTGCGCTTGAGCTCTGAGAAGGTTGTAAGTACTGTTCCCCGGGCTCCGCACAATGGCAGCCCACTGATCTCCAAGGGGATGGATCAAAATGCAGAGTGAATTTCCCCATTGTGGGACAAAAAAGGATTTACATTGCATTACCGAATGACAGGTCTTGTCTATAAACATTTTGCATAAACCAATACTGGAAAATGCAAAAAAGAGTTGTCAAAAGCTCATAAATAGAGACATGAACGACTACTCAATAAGTTGTACAGATATCATTACTACAAATAGATCCTCTTAAAGTAGTGTAAAACTTTTTTCTCCATTTCCCCAAATGCTGTTGCAACCTTCAAATGCCTACAAAGCTGTAGCCATTTTTATTTAGGGTATTGATTTTGGATTAGTTGAACTGGATAAAAGCATCGGATCCTAAGAAAAACATTTTTTTTTAATTTGCAAAATGAATAAACCGTTGAATAATTTTTTTATTAATCGATTAATAATCGGATAGCCAAAGGTTCCTTAAAGACTTTTTACAAAATTAAACCACGTGAACCTAAAACTTTTCCACTTGCAAAGTTCTGGATAGAGAATATTGACAAGAGAAAATGAGTTTTTATCTTAAATGCTAAATATTTACATATTTTTTTTTACAATTTTAGTATAATTACTGCTCAAGGCAGGGTGTTCTGTCAGCTAAAGACCCATTTTAAAGTCTTTATAATCCAGTTAATGATTAATAGATTACTAAATTATTTGACAATTAGTTCAGTAACAATTGTTTCAGCCCTAATTTTTTATAGTCTTTATTCAGTATTTCATTTCTTTATTGCCATCTACCCTTTGCTTTGAAGTCTTTCTCCTTCATTTATCAAATCAGGCAGTAATAGAAACAGTTCTATGTACGGTGCTACATCTGAATCATGTTCATTTCTAAAATTGTTTTCTATGAAGGACAAACAAGGCTGCAGCTCTTTTGTAAAACCAGCCCTAAAGATGGACATTCTATCTCGACATCTTTGTTCTCTGCTGTTTAACTTTCTGTTGCTGTTCGTTTTGGAGATGAGATGACTCACTCCACAGAGGACGGTCTGCATCTAAATGCGCTGAATGGGTCCCTGTGAAGTGAACCAGCCTCTACAAAAAGAAGAGTTTAAAGGGGGCGGTGGATTCCTTTAAATGTGTAGCAGTGTATGAGCAGATTTTTCTGTCACAACCTTCCTAAATCACCTTCAGAAAGCAAACGTATGAAACAGTCTTGTATAATCAATCAGCCTGTTGGTGTGTGTGTATGTGTCTCCTTGCTATGTGTGCTGCGCCTCCACATGTGGCTTTAATCTCTGCTTTCTTTTGCGTCCCACCCATCTTTTACCCTTCACAGAGACTTGTGACCACCGAAGAAGTCTCCCTGGTTCAAAACAAGTCCCTTTTCAATGACATCCACTCTGTTTTTTGGCTTCTCTGTTTCTCTTTACACCATTGTGGGACCCAAATATCTCATAAAGTTTAAATTTGCTTTCATATTCTGCATCTTTGTTGAGATTTATCTCTGGCTCAGTGTGTCTTTGTGGTGTGTTGACTGATCAGCCAATAAACAGACCCCAAAGCTCAAATTTCAGTAGAGTTTATTGCTTTGGGTTCAAATCTGCCATGTCCAGGTTGTTTATTTGCCCTGTAGGTATCACATTCAACCCACAGCTCTCTCTCCCAATCAGATGTGTGTTCCCTCAGCCTGACCAGCCAGTAATAGCTTTGTAGAGTCAATAAACTCTTGTGCATGAACTTGTTCATAAAAAAAACGACATTGTGTAGCACTTCTAGAAATTGATCTTTCTCTTCTGTTTTTCCACACATGCTCATCTCTCCTCTGTTTCCTTTCATTGCTCTCATCTTCTGACAGTCGCATTATAACAAACTGAAGCTGATGATTTTTATTTCCTTATGCTATCATGGTTACATGTCCCATTTTATTCAGCTCTTTGATTCATGGTGCCTCAGACATTTGTTGGAGACCATTATGAAACAAACGAGTCATGAAAACCAAGTAACACAGCAGAAAGTTCAGGGAGAAAGTTTTTGAAAAAGTTGCCAGACAGTGTCTTGATGCCAAAAAAGAGCCCAACAGATTTTACTTTCACAAGTGGAGCAGTACGGCTATCGCTATAGTGTTCTGCTTGATTTATGCATGTATTTAGCTTTATTATTATTCATGTCGGGAGTATTACAGATTATATGGACACTGCAATGGGAAAGTAGAACAGGAAAGGAAAGGAAAAGCAAGAAAAAGGAGAAAAGATGAAAGAAAGAGGAAATAAAATGGAGACAACGATAAAATGTCTTCAGTCTGCTTCATCCTGCAAAGAGAGATGTAAAAAGAACAGCAAACCAACAGATATAATATAAGAAATACATTAAAGTAGCACCTTGATACCATCGCTGAAGTATAAGTAGTATTTTTTTTTATTTGACATGTATACTGTGGTAGCTGAAGATAAGAATATGTGCTTTCTGTATGGAAGTGAATCTCTAACTACATGGAACCAAGCACCTGTAGTTGTTTTTGAGAGTGCACCTGTGCATGTAGAGTTTAACCAAAGGAAAAATGCTCAATAGTGGTTGTGATGAGCCGAAGACGTGCCCCCCCAGAGCACAGAGGCAAGCGCCGGGGGACCCAAAAGACATGCAAAGGGACCCCTAGAGCAAAGGTGTCCAAGAGGGGCCATGACAGGATATCTGCCCCCCCACCAAGGGAGAGGAGAGACGGCCTCGAGGAAATCCCCCAGCAATGCTGAAGTGAAACCAGACGTGGGCCCCAGGGGCAACTCTCCCCCCGGCGGGAGCCCCGACCGGGCCCCGTGGGGCCAAGCCCCACGAAGCAGTCGCCAGGAATAAGCCAGTACCCGCCCGAGCATCCACCCCCAAACACTGAGCACCACCAGTGCACCAGCGGGCCAAAGCGCTCCCCAGCAGAGGGAGGCAGGACGGGGGAAATGAGCTCCACACTTAGCAGAGACTTGAGATCTTCTTGGGAGAAGGAGCAGCTCAGATCCGAACCTGACGAGTAAACAAAAAAAAAAATTTTTGAAGCAGGGTTGGGTTATAAAAGAATATATAGAGCTTTGACCATCTCACAGAGTTCAGTACGTTCTCAGAAGCAGTGTGGCACAACTGTAAGGTATCAGGACGTGGCTGTCCATTTGAAACTGATAGACGGGGTAAGAAGAATAAATTTATTTGGAAAATATAGATGTTGTGCTTGTTCATTTTAACTGCTGGTTTGTTTTTTATCGGTATAGATCAGACCATATGATATGTCTTTGTTGTGGCTGCGTTCTTTTTTTTATGCTGTTTTCCATCATATTTTGTATTAACCTGCTGTGCTTTAAGGGCCGTGTGCACAGGTTTTGTCATGATGTGGAGCACTGGTGCTGCTCTGTAACCATGACTGCAGCTCTGCTTTCCTTGCTTTTAGGAAAAGCAACTGCTGAATATCTTTATTTTATTTATTTTTTCTAATTTGATCCAATCAAATGGATTGGATCATTGTTTCCATTGAGGGACAGCAAAACATAGGTAAAATATGTGGCATTGTCCCACAGAAATCAGGACATCTGGTCACCCTACACCAATATGATGTTACCACCATAATTTATCTTTATTAGGATGCTTCTTTCCATTAGGGAGGGATAAGCTGGTCAGAGATGGAAGACACAGGTGAGAGTACAGGAAATACAGGTGAGCATGGCTGAAAGCCTACAAAAGACTTGAAACTTGTGCAGGACTGGTTTGGATCAGGGATGCCCGAGTCCAGTCATTAAAAGCTGCCATCCGGCAAATTTAGGCTGTATCTGTTCTACAACGCATCCATATATGTAGCAGGAGGTCAGGGCTTGAGGACTAGTCTTGGGTGCTACTGGTTTATTAGAGCTCCAATCCTAAAGTGCTGATGTCCTGCAGCAGTAGGATGTCCCTCTGGTCTAACATGCATGAGTCTAATGGCTAAAATGCCTCCTCAGCAAGCAATCAAGTGCTTTAGTTTCAGCCCTTGAGAAGTGGACTTTAAGCCCCCCTGGCTTAGATGAAAGCATGTGGCCTAGTTAAAGTTCACATGTAAATTTAATATCAACACTAGTTAATTGAAAGCTTGGGGCATCTTAACACTCCAACCCTTTCTTTAAGCCCCCCACAAGCTTCTCCCTGAGCTTTCTGTTGTTCCTCGGTCTTCATGATGCTGTTTGTGCATCAATGTTGTTTAGCAAACCTCTAAAGCATTCATAGAACAGCTGGGTTTATACTGAGATCATATAACACACATTTGGATTCTATTTACCAATTAGGTGACTTCTGTGGGTATTTGGTTGCTCTGGTTTTTATTGATGGGTTTCAGATTGAAGTGGGCGCACATTTAAGCTTTTACATTTGTTAACATTTTTGATAATCATGCATCTTTTCCCCTTGTATAACTTCCTGATTATCTGTCACATAAAATACCAGAGAACTTCATAGTACACACAACAAAAACATGTTGTTTTAAAGCAAAGAAATGCGAAAAAGGTTCCCCGTGCAAGTGTTTACAAATCACTGTAATTCAAACCAGGAGTGTGCAGGGACCCCTGCAGGATAGAGGCTACCTAACCATGCCGACCAACACGTCAGCCGCCTGTCAAACACACAAACATACGCTGCCACTGAGACTGACCAACCCCTGCCTCTCCATCCCTCCATCCCATTATCAGAGGATCTGAACAGCGTCACCATTATCTGTCTCCTCTCGGGAGCAGCGGAGCACATAGCACAGTTATCATTCAACAAACACACACTCTCACTCCAACTCTGTCATTCCTGCACACACACACCAATGCAGATGTTGCAGAGTAAGGATCAAGGGTTAATCAGGTCTTTTCATCAGCTGCACCACCCTCTCCTATCTGTCCTTTTGCTGTCTAATGGCTTTGTTTATATATGTGTGTGAAGCTGTGTGTACATGTGTATGAACGTACGGTTGTCTCACCAAACCCGTTTTTTGGCCCTCTTTAGCTCCTCTGATGTAAATAAAGAGGTCTGTCATTTTCCTTCATTGTTTTCTCTCCTTCCCAGGGATGTTTGTCTTCTATGAAACTTCAAATGTGTTTACATTAAGTGATTTACGGAGAGCTTTTTTGTCTCTAGTCAGTTTTCATTTGATGTATGCTCGAGTCATGTCTGAGTTGCAGACCTTTATTATAAATTAATAAGTCTATGAGAATTTTACTGAAAGTTTTATATTCTTGACTTAAGTTCAGAAACAGAGACAGATTTGAATTTTTCAGGGACTTTTCCCTCCTGAATGAAGCTGAATCCTCGCCAAGGCAGGAAGAAATGTTCGCATTTTGTTTTTTTTTCACAGAGAACTCTGTGCACTCTGAAGGCAAAATGTCTGAAATGGGTGTTCAGAAATCTAAAGTTGTGTTCAAGGTTCATGCACCACATTTCAATTGGAGTGTTTTTCCTCCGCTGCCTGAGGCACAGACCTTGGAAACCTCTGCACTGTAATGAAAAAGACATCTTTGGCACATATTGAATTCTAGATGCTGTTTTCTGAGCCATTCACACGTTAAAGAAATATCAGGGTTTGTGGCCGTTGTGTTTTTAAGATTGTTTGAAATAAAAAAAATGCTTCATCCATCAATTTATTCATCCATCCATTCATCCATCCAGCCATCCTGTCTATAGCGATAGTGATATAATCAATGTACTTTATAACTGACATGTAAGAATATCATGTTCACAATGTTTTATAGATGACCTGGGAAAAGTTTATGAATATAAAACTTACTAGCAGGAAATGGATTTATCCTTAGAGGAGTTTTATCACGCTTTGTTTCCTGACAGCATACTTAATGTAATCATCCCTTTTTAATAAGACATACATATAACTCTGTGCTTAGCTGTGCAGCAGTTTGTCCCTGTTAGGAAACCAGACAGTCCCTTGGAGGAGTAACTGGAGTTTCAGGCAGCCCTGCTCCACAGTTCATTGATGATGCCCCCAACAGTGTTGCTGCCTCTGCTTCCACCCCTTCAGCTCTTCATTAGCGTTGGTGTTATGGGACTGAGCTGGCCTGCAGCCAGGCTGCACTCTGGGCAGCATGGGCTTCCATGCATATTATCGCATTATCATGCTTCCTAGTGTATAAGATTGAACATTTGCTATCAGGCTTTTAAGTGCTTTTACCAGCTGATCTTGCAGGGCTTTTGAAGTCACTGCGACTCAGATTTTCAGGCTAATCTTTAAGGCTGGAAAACGTCTGAATTATACTGTTATAGAATGTATAGTATAAGTACAGTGTACCTTCAATACATAGGGATTTCCCCAGTATAGGTAGATACAAAAACCTTTAAAACATTTTACAAAATAAATGTTTTTTTTCTTCAAATCTCTATTACGGTATTCAATTTAATAGATTGATCGCCGCTCCTGCTGTTCTCGTTTTCCTCCTGAGGAACCCAGAACCTTCTGGGTTTCTTCTATGATTCTAAATGTTCTCCCCATGGATGGATGGATGGACAGACAGGCTTTTCATTATCTTTTTTGGCAGAAATGTTATATATGTAGACAAAAAAAAGTATTTGAGTTTGATAAAATAGTGTTGATAAAGTAAAACTAAATATGAAGCAGGCTCTCTTTTGGGATCTCCCTTTGACTTGTGTGTGATTTTCCAACAACTGACAAATTTAGTGTTTATCTTTCAGCAAACCTTTCGTTTTCCAGCAGCCATTGTAATGCAGTGAGTCATGCTAACTATTAGCTACTAGAAGCTTTTTTAAGCAGAATTACAGTAATTCTAACGTTTTTCAAAGGAACCATTTAGAGCTTTTTATGTTTATGTTTTCAATTATTATTCAAAGCCATTAAACCTGTAGGTTTAATCTTCTATTTCCCAACCAGAAGCTGGGGCTGAATGCTATTTAACCGAGCCTCAGAAGTATTCATTTAAATGTCACCAATGGAACTTAAAGGCATTTCTTTGTCCCCCAAGCATTATTCGCATACTTTGCTCTTTTTGCATTATACAGAACATGCAGATGTAGTTTTTAGGAATACAAGCAACAATATTGAACTGTTAAGATGTTAAAATTCCTGCTCGGTTACCAGGTGACAGTGCAAAAGCTTCTGTAAAACAAAGGCAAATAAATCCCTTCATTCTCCTATTCACAGGCAAGAATCAGCTTCTGTTTAAAACAAGTAAAATATATTAATAATCTATTGAAACATAAGAACTGTGAAATAAAACAATGCTTCTTACAAGTAACTCATCCAAAGCTCTTGGATGAATCTCCAGCATTCCTTCCACACATCTGTATGCTTCTGCCAAGGAGGATTTTCTTGGGGGATTGTTATACTTCCTCAGCAGAGCAGTCCCTGTGAGATTAGTTGTCCATCAGGACTGGCAAGAATGACTGTTTCCACCTATAGAAGTCTCCATTTGACTTACCCTTTCTTCCTGCAATTTAAACTTTTAAAATGCACAATAAAAGTTTGAATAAACCTAAGATCACAGACTGATGGCCAGATTTTCAGATAGAAAGCAGAATTCATGGTTCTGTTAAGATTCAGTTCCTGAAGCATCATAGCAGACCCAGACCATCACTCTCCTACCTCCATGACTATAGGTATGAAAGTTGCTTTTAAGAAATATGGTTTTAGTTAAACACTAAATGTAACACAACAAACCGGTTCCAAAATTAAAGACTATGGTCTGATACATGATATTGTTTATACTGTTGATGTCGGAAGGCCTCTTTTTTGTCTTTTTTTTTTACTTTCATGGTAAGAGGCTGGTTATCCTCCCACGGCAGTGTGTCGCGTGAGCTTGTATGACGCAGACATTTTAGATTTATGCTCAATATTGATTGTTGAATGTTTATTTCGCACCAAAACGCAGAAGGGGACAATCATGAACTAGCTTTGAGTCTAGATACGGCCGAGGCGGTGAGGAAGTGGGGGCAAGTTTTCAACTTTCAACGGAGGGACATGAGGGCGAAAAAGAGTGGGGATATAAACATACAAACAAAACAAGCCGGTAAG